GGTCAATGGCTCTGTGCAGAAGAGAGAGACCCAGACTCTGGACTGAGCCTCCCCTATGCACAAACCTGCACTGGGCTGAAGGTTGCACAGAATCACGCTTTGTTCAGAGCCAAGATGTGGAGTTTAAGTTTTATGTTTCTTTTTGCTTTTTGGCATCAAGTCAGTTATGCCCCAGTGAGCAAAGACAGGGAAATATTTTGAATGTCTTCTCAAACCACCATCTTGAAATTATCATTATCAAAAGTAAACCTGTGTGAAGTGTTCTCACCAGATGTTCCTTTCCAGATAAAGGGTTTCTTTGTGAAATTAAAGAAAGCTCTCCTGATAAGTGATTTGGCCCTTACCTGTCTATGTTAAGAAGCTATGATTCTGACAAGTCTGAGCCAAAAAATCTTCAAGGATACAGGCACACTCCAGCACAGCCCAGGTGGATATAAACAAACAGCTAATGTGACTATTTTAGGAACTGACCATTGCTTTTTTGTAGATCTGACAACAGAAAAAAAACCAAAAGCTGGCTAAACAGCAGTCAACACACCAATGAACAATAAACTTTTCATCTTTACCAAAACAAGTATTCATATAATTTTGTACCCACTGAACTGGAATTTATTTGCAGGGCCTAAGGATAACATGGCAGAACCTACCAGCTGCAGCACAGCAGAAATAGTCCAGAAGACTGGAGAGGCTTGCTTTTGTCTGCTGGCCTATTACTCTTTCATGGAGGAACTTCAGAGGGCCACAGGATGAGCAGCTGCTCTAACCTGAGGGAGCTCTGCACATGCTTGCCAGGAGGTCAGACACCTTCAGCTCTGGGAGAGGCCGTGGACCTTCAGAGACAGCACTATGGCACTGGAAGCCGGTGAAGTCACTCTATCATCATAAACTGAATTGCAGAGTACATGCAAGGAAGCACCTGGGAGCCCTCAGCTAGGTCTCCCAATCCATCTGGTCAACGATTAATATCAACTATGGGCAACAGGCATATAACACAAGCACGGAATGGAAGGGTTTAAAGTAAAATGCTGTCCACTGTAATAAAGATTAAGAGCTAGCTGAGTTTGCAGATGGATGACACCTTCTGTTTCAGACAAGCTGAATGCTTGGTAATTTTTAATTTGTAATACAGCTACTTGAGTTGTTGCACATATGTATGTGTATATATATACGTACACATTTGAATCAAAGTGAATGAGAAGTACCAGAATGCAGAGGTGTGACTTCAGCCTCCTATAACTAATGCAATACTGCAGAATCATTTGTTCTTTCCTTTACTTTGCACGCATAGCAAAAGTCTGATTTTTGCTTCAGTGAAGTGTCTTTGGAGGGTGAAAAGGATGGTTTTAAAGTTCATTCTGTTCCTACAAAGGGAAAGAACAGCTTTGGGAGAACACACAGAATGTTTCACAGAGAAAGACTAGTCCTTAACGTTGCTCCTCACTGTGTCAAACTTAACTCATACTCATGGATGTGAGAAATGCAACAACCAGTCCAAACTGCTTCAGCGGGGTTTATGCACTTCTACTTTATTCAAAACCCTCAACACCTTCCTCCCCCAAGTAATCTCAAAGCCAGAAGCAATTACCCTCTTATCCACAGAGCAGCTTGCAGAGCACCGAGGGGAGGATTACCAAGAAGCCCCACGACACACCCCTGCAAGGACACTTCTGCCTTTCAGGCTGGTTAATTCTTAACTTCAGCTGAATCACTGCAGGGAAAGGACAGACTGCACACCCAGCAAATCCGTCCTTTACAAAGTGCTTGAAGCAGTTCAAGAACAGCAAGCACCACCTTCCTCAAAACACAGATTCTTCCGGAATTCACAGAGGTTACACCCTGGCAGTCTGTAACAGCTGTATTTCCCCCAATTGTATAGTGGAGTAGGACAGCTGTAAAGTAATTATGAAGCAACAATGAGTTTATTAACTAAAGTAGATTTTTAAAAAAGTTTTTAAAGACACATTCCTTTTGATTTCCCATTTTAAATTCTCTATTAGAACTACACTACATACAAATAAGACATATTATCAGTATGGCTCTGCCCAAACAACACAGAAATACCAGAACTCTAGGAGCTGTAGTACTATCTTTAACAGGCATCAAAATGCTACATCAGCATTTAGCAGCAGCTCCACATTAATTTCCTTTACCCAAACTCATTCAGTTCAAAACTGAGAAGTCAATAAAGCCAAGACAACTCAAGAAGTTTTTCTTTTACTTTACAAATTAAAAAAAATAAAAGGAAAGATTCACAGTTCTAAAAAAACCAAGGAACAGTGAAAACAAAACACCAGGCAGGTCCATTCCTTAACTGAAGGCACATCTTTTGTTTATTCAGTTTGTCTTAAATATAAAACATGCACCTATTAAATTTACTCTAAGTCCACAAAATCAAACTGATTTGATTGATTCCACATCTTTAAAACTGTAAATGTCTAACCTGCCTTTATCTAATGCACCTTGATGTAAATAGACTAAAGTAAGTAAAAGAACCCAAACCTGTTGCAAATCTATATAACTGCATGTTAACATAAAGCAAGACTAGAATTCAGAGCTTTATGGTCACACGCGATAGGGCACGCATCTTGCCAAGCCCTGCCAACAGGATTTGAGAGAGTGAGCAGGGAAGAAAACGGAGCAGAGGGAATATACCACAGCCCCCTTTGCCGCTCCTGGGCATGTAAGATTAACCGCATATCCCCACATACCAAGCCAAACTTTGACAATATTTGTTAAAAATGAAAGCAAGTTTTAATGAGAATTTTTCCAGGCATTTAAACAGTTCCAACTGTATTTCTATCATTGTTTTGTGTTTGCTGGTTGAAGTCAAGGGTTTTAAACTGCCCTAATCATAAGGCAGACTGATTCCCACCACAGCTGCTGCGGTTCTGCCCTCCCTCATCTTTCCTGGCAAGAAGTTTCTGTTCTCTTCCCCTACTAAAGCCAGCTTGAGTTAGTCCTTTCCCAGGCTGAAAAACTACAAACGAATTTCACGCTGAAAAGTCATCACAGAACAGCTACAACAACAGCATCTGAGCAGGGACCTCAACCCTCGTATGTGCACAAATTCTCATCTCTGCCTTTCTGCAAGTTAAATCCAACTATATGTTTCCCAAAAGTGATACATGATTAAAACACAGAGTAAAACCAAAGACTCATGGTCCCATTACACATGAACAAATGTAACAAAAGAACAGCCATACTCAATCAAGCCAGAAGTCTACCTATTCCAGCACCCAGTCTGGCAGGACACTTCACTATATTCCACCTTTGCCATGACATCTGGGGATGCATTTCAGAAGCCACACTGAACTTTAGTCTCAGGCCAAACAGATACAGACACATTCCTGAAGAAGAAACGCACCAGTTCCACAAACTGTCTGCCAAAATAATGTGACTCCACACAGCAGCAGCAGGACCAGGACAGCACGCCTAGCCTGAGGAAGCAAGAACTATCTTCCAGTGAGACCACCAAATCTTCTGAAGAAAATGCACCCAAGCGCTATCCCAAATCAGAACTCAATAAAGAGGATTCAGTGTGCACAAAGAAGAAAAAAAAGTCAATTTTTGTCAAACTACATGCACTCTCCAGGAACTGTCAGTGAGACAGATAAATGGCAAGGGTGAAAAGTTTTGTATTGACCTCTGCCAGCCTAAGCTGTGACAGCTGCGTCCCTCTCACCATGTTCCTACCCTCATTTGAGCAAACATTCGCACTCATGCAACCACATGGTGTGCCACTTCAGAGAGCTGAGCTAGCTGAAAGCTAACCTACCAGAAAAAGTTATCCATTTTCTTTTTTGCAAAATTAACTCTCTGTGCTGACTTACTGCTTCGTCACATAGGCAGAGGAATGCGTGGCTGGAGTCACGGAAGCCCCAAACCACACTGGCTCAAGCTGCCGCAGAACTGCAGCATGGACAAACTGCTAACTAACACCGCAAACGGAGAGGTACACTGCAAACGAGAGTGTGGCATTAAGTGTAATTCCAGTCTGCAGCGAAAGCAATATCACACTCTTTAGACTCCAGTCACCATGGCATCCACTATGATATATCAGGACAGCCTGAGGGACTATTTCGCAATCCAGCTCTCACATCTCCTCTTCTCTTTGCTGGAGTTCCTTTGACTAAAGAGAATGGGACCACCAGGCTGCCACCTGCAGAAGACGGAAATGGAGTTTAGCTCTTTCAATAGAACTTTGCACGTGCCTATTTCCAGAGCGAGAAGACAACGCCGAAACTTTGGAGAAATACATTGCTTTCCCTTTTCCAAACTCCAGCAGAGGTCCCCAGTCCCTGCACAGCTGCAGCACCGCCACTGCTCTGGGACACAGCACCCTTTTTAAAGGGAGCCTCTTGAAAGCCAAGAATGCCTGCTATGAAACAGTTATTTATATTGAGCTTTAGCACAGTCAGGTGACAAAGAACTGCGGCCTTGTATTTAAAAACCCTTCAACTGGTGCTTCGTCTTGCACAGAAGCTTACCTACAGCCTTTTAGCAGACCCTCGCTCCTTTCCTGGAAAACTTTCCAAACACAAAGGGCACAAGGAGCAGCCTCACAGGGCCACGCTGCAACCACCCACGCAGAGAAGCCCACTCCTCTCTGCTCCAGCTGCACAGAGCCGGAGCTTGGGCTGGGTCCGAGAGGACCCTAGCCCGCACTCGCGGGCGGACAAACCTGCACCAGCTCAGCAGCTTTCGGCAGCGCTGAGCCCCAGGCCGCCGCGCTGCAGCGAGGGGCGGGGATGAGGCGCTGGCACCGACGTCGAGCGCGCAGAGCCCGCCCGGCGATGAGGAGCAACAGGTGAGCACGGGGCTGCGCGGCGGGGAGGGCGGCCGGCCGGCCGGCGCAGGCGGCAGCACCACCTCGGCAGC